CCATCGTCTGTACGGCGGAACTTTTCCCGTGCCCTAGATCTAGTGCTCACGTTATCTTGGGCGTCGTTCGCATCCCTGTTGTCAGCTACAGCCGTCTGAGCACGCCATAAAAATGGTTTTGAGCACCAACAAGGACGCTTGAAGCACTCCACGCCCACCCATCCAAACCGCGCCCAACCCATCGTCGCACCCTCTTGTTGTGTGACGTTGTCGCCTGGTGGAGGACACCCCTCATTGCCTGGCTTTCCTTATTTCATCCCTTGTTTAGTTCTGGTCTCTGCTTTGTACTAGTGGTGCTACCAGCTGCATTTACTTAGTAAGTAGCTACAGCTTTCCCACTCCCAGCCAGTCCATGTTTCCTGTATAAAGTTGCCTCTCTTCATAAACGTGCCTCTCCGGTCATCATATTTTGAGACTTCTCAAAGCTCTTCTTGGAAGCTTCGAGACGTTCGTCTGCATCATAATGGCTTGCCGCGTCAGCCGTCATCAGCGTCTAATCAACATGAAGCATGCCAAGAGCGAATTAGGGCAGTGTGCCAACGAGCAAGCGTTGAGCAAGCCTGAGGAGGATTTTTTGCCCATTTGCATGCTCTACTTCAAAACCAGCTTTCTGACTACGCCCTCGCCAGCAGTGGCGCGCCGGCCTCCTTCCCTTGTAATTACCCTATAGCGCAGGCCATGGATAGAGCTACCAGTGCGAGAACAATATTCCGCATGACTCGACTGCTTGCGCTACATTTTGCCTTCACTTCACCCCTCCCTCCACTCTCGTCCCTTCTTCTCCCTACATCGAGCTTGCTCGAGCTCAATTTGAGCCAAGGCAAGTTGAGCATTGAGCAAACAAGCGTATAGGGAGCTACTGAACTAGAAGTGCGCCATCAGTGCATTCCACAGACGCTGCAACGTCATTCCCAGCCGTGCATCTGACGAGCGTTCTTGCTGCCTGCCTCAATGGCGGACCAGTGTCTCTCCCTCACCATGCTGCTGCTCACCGTCACCATCTCGGCAGCTACTGTGACGACAACGACCGCCGCGCAAGTCGGCACTATCGTCGTCAGCAATGTTGACGGCAGCCTGACGGTCGACAACTACACCATCAACGGCAACATCATCACCAAAAAGTGGCTGTTACAAATCTGTCCCAAATGTATGCGGGTCTCAAATCGATAAAAAAATTGTCCCAAAAGAATTTCAAAGATCTCCCGAAAGTGTCCCAGTCATGACATGGAACGAATATGAACAAAATATGTCACACTTCCACACAAAACAAACCTCAGCGGGGACAGATTTCTGACGGATTCCCTTCCGCAGCATGTGCCAACTCGCAGGTGAATGCAACAGAGGTCGATCGGACGGCTCAGATTCCAAATCTCCTGTTAAAATTCAGTCTTCCGTCGATTCAATTTATTCGTTTCAAGGTCGTCAGATCATTTCGGCAGGTGTCTAACGGCCCAAAATGCATGAGGTTGGTTCGGCCGTTAGATTGATATCGAGGTAATCGAACAGTCGACAACCCAATCGACTGCAAGTTACATTTCTTGCACTCGCAAAAATATTGTATTTCATGTAGCTAGCAAACATCTCCCAGATGCATTTCTTACGTCTGGCGCTTTCTCTTCGTCTCATTAGTATGCCTTCCATTGCGCACGATTTATTAGCACTACATCGCAGACCGCTATATCCTCTTGATCGCCATTTTCCGCCCCTTTTTTTCCCATGTATTCGTCCAGGTCTGCGTTAACGACGGTTACGGAGGCCCGCGATATGTTTCATCTATAAGGTTAGTACTGTGACGTGTGGCTGTGCATAGTCGATGTTAATGTCGTTCTGCATTTAAGGCTAATGATGTTTTTTTGGCATATAATTTCGTTCAACATTTAAGGCGCACGCCGTTTTTCTGCCCTACGGTGTGAATCAGATTTGTTCATGCCCTCGAGTAGAGCTTTGTACGCTTAGTATTTTATAGCAGTTCAAGAAGGGAAACCGAGTTTCTATAACTGCCAACTTACGGTGGGTGTTATAATCAATTTGTGACGACCTAACCATGTGCGTGCAGGATTTCGGCGTGCAGGTCAATCTATTTATACTCGTTTGCCTGTACGTGCCACTCCCAGTGCAGGCCTATATTTGATGAGCTATATTGTTTTATCACCACTATTGTTTATTTCTGCCGTAGGGATTATCTTCATTCTTTCTGCCAGGTGCATGGAAGTGCTAGTTGCACGTAAGGAGTGTATTTGCTAAGGGTGGTCGCTCGCTATCCGCTTCTGGTCTTACACCACCTTTGAAGGACTCAAGTTTTACCAGTTTTCAAATTGTGGAGGTGCATATCATCTCAGACTTTTAGCACTTGTTTTGTTTGTAAAGGCAGCTGTCATAAAATTTCGACAGCGAATTCTGATTTACTCTGTACTCGATCAACATTTATAGGCAATGAAAATTGAATCGTCATTTTATATTTGGCTATTGTAATGCAATAAAAGTATTTAGTGTAGTTTGTTTGCTTATGGTTCAGAATGAATTGTACTATATCGAGTATCATCTGGCCAATAGCACACTCGTGATACGTGTCATATGGCGCAATCGGGGCAAAAGCAGGACAGTTTTGTGGTTGCCTGCAATGTGGAAAAGTGTCCCATAAGTGAGTCAGAAACGTCAAACCCTATATCCCAGAAGTGTGTGGACGTCACATCCCGGAACACACTTGAATCTGTGACACACTCTTCTGGGACACTTCAGGGATCCCCAATTTTGGTGACGATTGTGCACGACAGTGAAACCAGTAATAAGGTCACACTGGTTGAGGGCAAGTACATCACCAAAATCCCAGTTCCCACAATCCGTCCCCAAGCCTACATGGGCGGAAATGGTCTTAAAACGGTCCATTCGGGGTCTAAAGGCCATCCCCCAATGCTGTCAGTCTACTTCCTGCCCAAAAACCTCCCACACATAGTATACAGCTGAGACCGCATTTGGACTGGCCCCGGATCTTGATTGAAGGCCAGGCCAACCGGATCTCCACAACATGAAACAAGCTTTACGGACACATAAATGCAAGGCAGCATTAAACTCGTTGACAAAAGAGGTTGCATGAGCTATTATCAAACAGCAGTACACCACCCAACTTAAATGTTTAACACCACCTAAAAGCAGTTTAGTGAATTTCAGGCTTAAAACAGAAACCTGTTCACAAGGTAGACACGCGCGTCAATGACACTACTCACGACATGGGCATTGCAGAAAATGGTGTCCACGTCAACAACAGAGTACGCGCCCGCTCCCACTGTGGGAGTGAGGCGTACACAACTAGTCTGCGGGCATGGAGCTGGAAGTTGGGTGAAGTAGTGGATTAGAGCCCGCCGAATCAACTCTCCCTCATCGTCCTCGCAATGAAACCGCACCAGGGCCCGAGCATACCGCCGTGCTCCGCCAGACCGCGCGGCCACTGGGTTGAACACCCCCTGCATTGGACTGGCCTTCCCAAATTGGCCAGCTGAAGTCCACTCCATGCGATCATGCGGTGGAATGGCTAGCGCGGTGTGCACCTGAGCAGGCAAACAGGAAACGCGTGCTGTTCAAGGAAGGCAGAGGCTACGGCGCATTGGTAACACCTGATTAGGGGGCACAGATGGGTTCGAACAAGGTCAACCACCGCCAGCGGACATGCACCTGCACACTATAGACGCCTGGGGCATGCCTCTGCAGCAAGGGACCGAGATGGTCCATGGCAGGGCCTCCGACGGCCCTCACATACTCCCGCCAAACCCTGCATGCCATGTCCCTGATCCTCATCCTCCAGGATGTGTGTGTCAGCACGCGGCAGTCGTTCTCAACAGCCTATAGAGCCCCCCGCGACCAGGAGGGAGTGGCGTTCGGGGGGGGGGGGGGGAGGAACAACACAGATACTTAAGCACGGCATAGGCACCCCATGGGAGTATCAAAACTCCAATGCCAAGAGTACACAGCCCACAGGCCATGCGGTCAGCCCCTGCAGGGGTGGTAGAGGGGAGGGCTTTAGGGAGGTTAGAAAAGGGTACCCCCTCGTGCCACCCTTGAGGCGTCGTGCACATGGCCTGCAGCAGGTGCAACTTACAAAGTGTCGGCATTTCGGCATGGAAACCGCAGCCCGCCACCCAGATGCACAACCATTCTCATCACCCCCTACCAGATCCTCTAGTTAGGGCTAGAATGTAGGGTACCTGCGGGCCAGCACCCCCAACTGCAAATACCTCGGCCAGCATTGCAAGGGGCTGCCGCAGCACGGCCAAGAACTCCCAGACTCCCAGCATACTCCTCCACATACCCCCTCACAAGCCCCCCCACATACTCCCTCGCTAAACACCTCCTTCCCTTCATACCCCTCCCCTCCCCTCCTCGCCTTACCACGTAACCTCCATTCCATCCCCAGCCTCTCTTCCCCTCCATCCTTCCTCTCCCTTCCCTCCCTCTCCTCCCTCTTCACCCACCCGTCCCTTGCTCCCTCTTCTTCCTTTCTGATTCTCTCCCTTTGTGTCGAATCAAATATATCCCCCCTCCTCCCCTCTGGTTCCCCATCATGCACCTGTTCAAGAGTAACCTTCTTTCTCAGCAGCTGTTCTGCCTTCTCCCTTCCGATTCCTACCCCCATGCCCTCCGCAAAACCCGCCTCGACCGCCTCCTAATTCTGAATCCCGTTACGATGCCCAATCCATCATACACTCTCTTCCCTAACTGTCTGCAGCACTGCCTGCTTCATCTGCATCATCTACCTCTGTTTCTGCTCCTCTTGTCCCTGCCTCTTCTTTGAACCAACACGCAGCTGCAGCCTTTCTTCCCTTCAGCAGCACCTTCTGTTCGAAGCTTCTGCTCCTCCTTTCAGCCCCATCATTCCCCCTCCTCTCAATCCCAGCAGAGTCTCTCATATCACACCACCCAATCTTCCTCCTCGCAGCGACTCCATTCTTCCTACTTCCACTCAACACAAGCTCTTTCCTATTCGCTCCAGAAATCGCCTTCCGATCCCCATTACTTCTTTCCTCTTCGTTACCCATTCCATTCACCACCCGTGGCTGTGCTCTCCTCACCTCTCTCTCTCCATCGCTCGCGTTCCTTCGCACTTTCCTCCTCTTCATCCTCCCCCCCATCATCTAACTCCTCTTCCTCCTCTTTTTCTTCCTTTTCCTCTTCCTCACTACCATCTCCCCCCTTCACCACCTTCTCATTCCACCTCCACCTCTCTCCGATCGCAACACCACCCATCACCATCACCACCACCAGCACAAGCTCCTCCTCATCTCCATTGCCATACAAACCCCTATAATCCTATGCCGCACACTCCTCGTCACACTCCAACTCCGGACGCTCCTTCCCGTGCTCCTCCTCATACCCCCCCACATACCTCGTGCATAGCAGTCTCATAGATTGGGCCACCCCCATAGTCGCGCGCCACTGCCCGGATCGCCGCCATCTGCACATTCCGCCTAACGATGCACTCCGTCACGCTCCGCCAGTTTGTCCCACGAGCTGACCGCTTCACAAACGTCTTGTGACTGTGCTCATATCTGTTGGAGGAGTAGTGGAATGGCATCCTGCGAGCCCGAATGGTATCGGGAAGGTGCACAAGATCGTGCACCTTGATTAGCTGCCAACGGGACCGCTGATTAGGAAAGGTGTCCTCCAACGTGTGCATCAGCCTGAACAAACCAATCAGACAGCCGGGTAGAAGGGAGAGGGGGAGGGAGGGAACGGTCAACACGGTCCACCATTGCTAGCACAACATGAAACTAGACCTGCAGTTGCCACTCACTCAGGTGTACTGCGCTGCATGACCTGTAGAGATGCATCTGTGTGTGACTCCACACATATACTCGCCTTGTACCACTCTGTCCACCTCACCACACCCCTGGCAATGTCCTCCCTGCCTGGGAGGTGCACAATCAGGGGCATGATCTGCATCATGCCCCTATGCTCTGACGCCGAGAAACGCGCGGTAGTGGAGAAATAGGTGGCCGCAGAGGGGTTCTTAGAGGTGGGGGGGGGGTCTCCTCACGCAGTTGAACGTACCACCTGACGCGGACAATAGGAAAATAACCAAAGCATGATATGCAAAATTACCCGTTAGGCACCGCTATAGACAACCAACAGAAGTGCGGAGAGCCTAGAAGAGCATGCTTACTCCTACAGCAGCTCCTTCTCGCGCTTGGTTAGGAGCCCGCCAATGCACTTCATGATGTGCACCCAAACGCCCTCGTCCAGCACATGCATGATATCCAGGGGCACCGCTAGGTACGTGTTCCCCCATATGGTCTTTGCAAAACCCCAATCCCAGAGAAAACACTTTGCACAGGAGGCCAAGGCTGTAGTGAGAACAAGATGGTGGGAACGGCCAGGCGTGCAAGCTTACCAACATTCCCCCCAAAGGCTCACCGCCACAGGGTGCGTGAACCAGGCCAGCTGAAGATCCTTCAGCATAGAGGGTGTAGCAGCCAACATCTGTCTGTACACCTTCCGCTGCCCCTTCACCATCCGCTTGGGAAAGGACTGGTCGACGCATCTCAAGTGTTCGCTGCCGACCAGGCATGAACTACACGGGCGATGAGAACCAGCAGACTTGGTGCATGTGACCTTACAAGATTCCGGAAAATCTGTCACGTATGAGAACAACAGAGGGAACACCTTGTACGACTCTCTCTGGTGATCCATGACCTCAAGGCCCCCACTGCACAATGAGGCAAACAACGGGGCAGGGAGGGGGGGCGGAATGGGAAAAACACATTATAGCCGCTCCCAACGTCGTGAGGTCAAGTGGGGTCCAGGTGGGGCAAGTAAACGTAGTTAGTGGTAACAAAGGCCCACCTATGGGGGTGTGAGATGGGCTGCAAATCAGCCACCAGAATCTGCGCGCAGCGCTGAAAAACACGGGTCTTCTCTACCGAGGACATGTCGGAGGGAAGAGAGGGAATCGTGCCTACAAGTTCCGTGCCACCCTCCTTCCACTGTAACGGCTCCGGTATGTTGGTCATGGAGGCAACCATCGGATGGGCTGTCTGTCTGCCGTTGAACGTCAGTGACGCGCTGTCCCTCCAGAGGATGAGGTTCAAGACCCGCCCTAGGCCCTTCAGAGTGGCCTGGTATGGGCCACACGATATAGGAGTAACGACACATGGTTTATGCATCATTGAAACAATTATTCAGAGCATGCAACAATGGCGATACCTAAGCCGGTATGAGCATGCCCCACTCACTGTTATTTGCAGCCACCAATCGCAGTCCTGGGGATCTGCATATCGCCGCTCTCCACCCTTGAATCTTGGCTTTACCTCAAGAACAAAGCCCTCCTTGCCCGAAAAAACCAACCACATGCGCAGGAGCACCTGTTGGGCTTGAGTGTGAGTGTAAAAGACCGAGCCGTTGGACAATGAGAAACGGAATCCAGAAACACAGGTGTGTCGAACCAGGTACGAAGGTAGCAAACCGCGTCGCTGCTTTGCGAGTGAGGCACATTCAAGTACCTTGATGATAGGCCGGTACCAGAACGTTACGAAACCCACGTCGTGATCGACCGCAATTTCCGCTGACACCCAATGTTGGTCGTCCGACTGGGCAAGCGTCTTCTCGAACTTCTCGGCGTCGCAGTGCGTGAACCAAAGGAGCAAGTTATCCACCTTCAACCGCGGGTGTTTGAAGAGGTGAATCAGCTTAGTTATGGCCATGTTCGGGAGGTTGTGCTTGCGTGCAAATATTAACAGCGGATATCAAACTCATCCTCCTCCGAATCGGAATTGCTGTCCTCTCCTGGCGTGTCCTCTATAGGGGTGTCATCTAATGGGGCGACACGGTCGACGGTTGGGTCTGAATCGCCCATCGTCCCTATGTCTACAACAACCGGAACTTCTGGAGCTTGCTCAGCCACCCGCGCCTCCGCCTGCTCTCTTCTAGCTCGTTGACGATCTAACATTGACTGATGGGTAGCCCCTATCCGCGCCATCCTGGAACGCCCTCGCTTGCATTGTTGGTCCGTTGACCAGTGAATGCGGAGGTGGTTGTAGCCCTGGAAGTCATGACCGCATAACCTATAGGCGATGCATTCCATGTCGACAAAGTGTTGCGGTTCTGCACAGCTTAGACCGGCTACGCCTTAGGGTTTCAACATCCAACTAATGGCTCCATGGTCTGCGACTATTCCTCGTGCATTCAACGTTAAACATTGCATTGGAGCCGTCCAATAATATATTAGTTAACGTACCGGATTAACGATCTGTAAACAAGTGGTTTGATTACGACCCTCCCTGCAGCGCGTGCGTTTAGGACTAGCGTGACTTGCGGCGGGGCGCATTGGTAACACCGTGCGCAGTGGTGTTCTCCCCCACTCTGCAAACCTCACCCACTTAAGAATTCCGCTTGTAGACTCAGCTGGTGGCATGGCGAAGCCTAGGGCAGTTTTGCGCGCGTGCGATATGGCCGACTCAGCAGGTGGCTTGGCGAAGCCTGGGGCGGGTTTGCATGCGTGCAATGTGGCGAATGGTTGCATGTACAGCTTTTTGAAATCAACATGATACAAGTATAATATATATCCCATTAATTGTAACTGAAGTTTAAGATATGCTGGAATGTCACACACTCAACTGGATGCCGGCAATGTTTCTATGTCGACAATTATGCATAATAAGAACATGGCGACAAGTCAAGGCCTAGGAGGTGTCATTGTATTGAGCTCTAATGACCATGTAACGCTCAGTTATGAGCCAAAGGGCAGCAATCCCATCAATGTCCTTGGGGGCAATCGTGACACAGCCGCCACCGCCTGCGAACAGCAGGGAGCATGAACCACACGCACGTTTAGTACTAACACTTAAGAGCAGCCGAAGCAGACAAGAAACACACATACAAAGTGGATGGCTGCAACAGGAAGCCATGAGAGAATACCGACATTGATCCTGCAAGCCACACCACCTTGGTTGACGTTGGGGTTTGGAAAAAGACAAGGAATGGTATGCTCACAAGGTAACCAGCGGCGGGCAGCGTCAGGGGAGAACTAGAGGGGGTTGAACTCGTAGGAACTCACCGAGTTGGAAGCAGTGCTCTCACCTATCGTTGTGGGCGATACGATGGGTCGTTGTGCCAGCATACTAGTGTCGGGTACTGCGTGGGGGACCTGAGGTGGACTAGCCACAGTGGAAGGTCCGAGTGTCGGCTGAGCCAAGGGCGGCGGTGCCGCCGGACCTTCACCCTCCTCAACGCGCGCGTTTTGATTTCGGAACGCGCACGCCATAGCACGAACATGGTGCCTCCCATTTAACCTTGCTGCCCTTTGCCGCCTCATCTGGCAAATTCTCACAGGCGTGCTTCTTAGTACGTTCTTTGGTTGGAGATAAGGCTGCCTCTGCATTTGACTTTGCTTGGCGGTCCAGACTACTCATCACCCCCATGAACGCCATGATCGGGCTAGCAATCACCACTCTTGCTAGTGCGCTGGGGGTGTGGTTGTCCTTTTGTTCGCCTATAGTATCGTTGGAATGTGCCTGCGACTCTTTGGCTGGCGGGAAATAGGGACTAGTACCAAGTTTGTTGCGCTTCTGGCAAGGAGGGTGTGCCATTGTGCGGCGTTTGGTGAAGTGGGAACGACGGAGTTCAACAACAGTGGCAAACCCTAGATGCGGTTGGGCGTTGAGGAAGCACGTTGAATTCTCTTCACTAGTCTGGTATACAGCGTGCCAAGCCGACCTGCGTCGAAGTGTGTTCCGTTAAGTTCTATCCAACACAACATGCATGCCTGTTGGCAAACAGTAACAGAAAGCTCTATTCAAGTTTGGATTATTTCATGTTAGATTCAAGGCACGACATAACTTCAAAAATGCCTCTAAACTTGTCCACGCAGGTTGTAAAAATTAGCCCACTCCCTAATTTCATTCTTTAGCTCCTCCCTCCAGAGCCGTGGGTTGCCGAGGAGAACAATGTTCCCAGAGTCTGCAAACCCGGTTTCCACAAGCATCTGCATGTAATTCATGCATTACACCCCACTGTCATAGCCATTCCTCTGTTTGGTTGCCTGCCGAATTATTACCCAGAGTGGCATTAGCAGGGGAGTGGAAAGAATGAACATGCAAACCAAACCAGAAACATGGTTTTATGAAATAACCCACCTAGATTTTGTCTAGCTTAATTTTGGATGCCCATGCAGCTGCCCTCTCTTCCGAAATTTCTGGCCTCAGAGTGTACAGCTTCTTGCCCAAGTAGAAATAGAAAAGCGCGGTAGATGTTATTGTC